TGTACTGACTAAATATTTGTTTCCATGTCGAGATTTCGTAAGACAAAAAATTCGTGTCAGTGTTTTTGTAAAAATCTTCAGTAAAATTTCCGTGTCTCACATAACATCACAGGCGTTTCTGCAGATACAAAATTTTGCGAAGCAACGCAAAATATGTCATCGTTTTTTTATGCATAAAACATTATTCTGTATAATTACAATCAAACTGTATGCGGTGTTTCTCAGATAATCACCAGAGCGGTTCATCGAATCCGGAAAGGAAGTAAAAGTTTAGTAAGGTATCGAGAAAAGTTCATAGAACTTTTGCAGTCGATATATCTCTGCAACCACTCAAGTATTTTTAACAAGTAAATAGACATTTTCAAGAGCATTTGAAACTGTTCTCATGGTGCAAAAATGAGGGTGACAGCTCAAGTAATAAGAGAGATATGGATGTGAGAATATTATGAACCTGTTTTAGGATAATATTTTACACTTGTTGCAAAAATCATTGTGTTAAGTGTTTAATCAATTTTCGATGAGACCTTCCGTAAACTGAATGCTGTTTCATGAAAAAAGTTCTTAGAGAGCTCGGAGACGTCTCATTTCGTCCAGAAATCTTTGCTCTATTCGAATAAACTAATGGTAAATAGTTCAATTATATTTGTACACAAGAAAGTCAATAAATACACAGGGGTAAGTTTTTTTTTGATCACCCTGTACGAATGACCAGTCATACTCCTAAATTTCGTTTTTGACGGGCTTTCATTTGGTATAAAATTCATTTGATATCTCTTGAAATATGAGCTGGAATAATATTATTTCCTACCCTGTAAGATCTGTGAACAGAGAGCATTTTGTACAAATATCGCTTTTGGTTCCTTCAAGGATTTCCTTTTAATAAACCCAACCATAAGTCAGAAAAGAAATTTAAACATACATCTGGAAAGAGCATGAAATGCTGATCCTAGTAGAGTATTTTTGATTCTCTCGAATCAGTTATAAATGATCGAAAATTGATTAAACATTTAACACAAAGATTTTTGCAACAAGTGTAAAAAAATTATCCTAAAACAGGTTCATAATATTCTCACATCCATATCTCTCTTATTTCTTGAGTTGTCACCCTCATTTGTGCACCATAAGAACAGTTTCAAATGCTCTTGAAAATGTCTATTTACTTGTTAAAAATACTTGAGTGGTTGCAGAGATATATCGATTGCAAAAGTTCTGCGAACTTTTTGTTCACACCTTAACTTATAACATCTGATAAACAGAAGTCTAGTGATACTTGTATAACTAAAAACACAAATGAAGAAAAACTTAGTAATCTTAGATGAACTTAGAAAATCCTCTAAGTAAATTTTCAGTGAAAAAGAACCTTTTGTATAAATATGAGATCGCACATATTCAGCTTTTTCAAATTATACACCAGTTATGGTGAGTCATCGTTTTTTTGCATTGTTAAAGAAAAAAATTTTTCGCGAAAATTGCATTGAAAAAACACATGCAGTATAACCTAAAGATGAAGATTCTGCGATAAAAGGCAAAAACTATCGTTTGTTTTGTTTATTTTTGCATGTGAGAATACAGTGGCAAGGATCAGCAAGAAAACGCTTATAAGAACGATGCGTTTTCTGGCGTTGCGTTAGTGTGGCCCAAAAAGTACCAAAAAACGCACATCCCTTCAGAAGTCTTGAGAAAAATCGACATAGGGCTTATTTTGAAGGATACAGAATTAAATCCTTTATAAAATACACATGGTTTTACAATCTAATAATGACACGATTGACGTCAGAGATGAATAAACCATGGGATCTAAAAGTAAGTATTTTTTAATAAAATTTGTTTACCTGAAAGACTAGAAAAAGCCAGATTTTTGCATTTTTCCGTCAAGTTTCAGCAATACTTAGATTATTTTAATTTTTTAACAGATAAATCCGTAACTTTATTTTTAATGTGTTTAATGCTGTTAAATTCGCGCACGGCAACAGCGGATTTCCACGAGTGAACAAGGACTTTGATTTATATGAATGCAAATCTCAATTCATTGCTCTCTCTCAAAGTTTTATCCGAGAGAAAAATCATATAATTTCTTGTATTAATATATTTGACTCATAGCTTCACATGAAGCACAAACAACATTCTGTTGGAGAAAAAACAACCCAAAAGCGACGGCGGAACAACCCAAGTAGAATGCATATTTCAAGGTTGTTGTGTGAGAAATCTAAAGACTTGTTTAACAGTTAGTGGTTGTAGGCTGACATATAATTGCATTGAGCTGTTAACCTCCGACCTAATATTTGAATAAAATGATAATCATCTGCTGTAGCCACAAAAAGAGTGACCTGAATAACTCCAGATCGGATAGTTTAGACCGATTGAAAGGAATTGTCTTCTTTTTATAAAGATCGCTGAAAATGGAACCAGCTTGGAGTTAGGAAAAAGGTTCTTATGAAGTAGAAGATTATTCTTGAACTGAAAGAAAGGGGTATAACACCGCTTCACCGATAACACCAACCAGTTTCGGTGTTAGGTCAATTCGTCGCGGTCATTTCGTTGCATGGACAATTCGCCTCAGGTCATTTGGTCGCAGTTATTTAGTCGCTGACAAATTCTTGCAGATCTTTTTGTTACAGACAACTCGTCGCACGACCTCTCTGTTACAACAAGTGAAAAAATTTCTCTCACTAACCAAAGATCAATAACACAACGAGCAAAAACCTGTTCACTTCTTGCAACAAACAGATCATGCAACGAAAATACTAGTGACAAATTGCCCACGGCGAATTGTCTGCGACTAAGTGACTGCGATCAAATAACCTGCGACGAACTATCCATGCAATGAAATGACCGCGATTACTTGAGCGGTCACCATCATTTTCATGAAGGATTATTCTAACGCTGGCTCGAATTGGATCTCACTTTAATGTTCTTAAACATCGATAAGTCATTGATTAACTAGAGTTGAAAGAAATATCTGAGATTCGAGAGGTCGAAGGTACTACTATTCATTTCAAAAAGGAATGGACACGGTTGCGTTTTGAATAAATCAGGAACGTTTAAGGTTCCTGATTCGGCATTGAAATGAAGACACCTAGGGGCATCCAGACATATAAGAACCACTGAGCTTTCAGAGAACCTTTGGGATTTTCAGAAGATCTTTGAAAAATCACCTCGTGTGAATGAGGAATTTCAATATTTCTGGATGGGTGCGATCCTATATACTATCCTCTACAATACCACACAAGACCGGGCTTCCTGACTTGTTCCGTTCTGGAGCTACAAGCCTTTTCCGAGAGCCCCGATTTTGACCAGTTAACCTCTGATCATCCTAAGAGGGGCCAAGATAGGGGTAATCGACCACGTTGAGCCGAGGCTCTCGCGCTGGCCTGTTTCTGAACGACCAAACCAGCGAGAGCAGCCTTGCGTGGTTTTGTAGAGGATAGTACAGAGGATCGCACCCATCCAGAAATACAGAAATTCCTCATTCGCGCGAGGATGGTTTTCCAGAGACATTCTAGAAATTCCTAAAGGATCTCTGTATATGTCTGGATGCCCCTAGGTGTCCATCAAGCTTAGTACTCAGGAGAAACAGTATTTTCTATAGTGCAATCCCCACATAATAAACATATGAATAGCAATATTCTGTTGTTCACTGAACAAACACCGTAGCATAGTGTTATGGCGTCCTTTATAAAAATCCACAACAACTAAAATGCATTTATGTGGTATAAAGTATTTTTAAATACAACATCTATTCGTCGCCGTCTGCGTTTCATTGGGTACAAAGGGCATGTGGCTCGAAAAAAACCATTATTAAAACAAGTTCACCGAAAAAAGCGCCTCGGATATGCTTATACCTATTCAATTAAACCAAAAAAGTTTTGGGACACTGTGCTCTTTAGCGATGAATCAAAAATAAATCTTTTCGGTTCGAATGGTCGAAAAACGGTGTGGATGAAAAGGGAGAGAGATTATCGCCCAGCTGTATTATTCCAGCAGTGTCTCACGGAGGCGACAACGTGAAAGTTTGAAGCTGCATGTCAAAAAGGGCGTCGGAAATCTCGTCTTTATAACAAGATTTCCGATGAATTTTGGCATAATACCTGATGCTGACAAGCTAAGACTTCTAGAAGAGATAGTTTTATTACGATCATTATCGATTATCGTTATTATGTCAGAGAAGGTTTCATTAACTTCATTTGGTTCGCTGACTCAAACGTCACTTTCCGATGGATAATCATACTCGACACTAAGGTGGCAACCGAATGTGTTTTTTCCAGAATCAGATATTTTTTCTGATTATAAATAAATTTACGAGCTATTGCTTCATTGTGAATACCTAGATTCAACCCGTTAATTTTTATGCATTCTAAAGATTATACTCGTATTCCATTTCTCGTTGGACAATGTTAGCTGATTAAACTCCTGTTTCACCTAGAGAATAGAGGTGAAAGCAATCAAAATAGACCGTCCTTAATACATTTACGCCGTACTAAACTTCTTTATTATTGTAGTCTTGGATTCAGATATAGCTATAATCAAGGCGCGTGTACTAATAAATATCTTTTTCTGTTTTTCCTCAATTTTCCTCAACTGTTGAACTAAACTCGCCAGTTTTTGACTGCCGATAGTATCTAATAAAGTTTCTGTTAAACCTTCTACTATAGTTCCGGACCTGAATTCGAGCCTGAACAATGGAGATCGTTCCTTTATCGAATGTGTTTGAGCAAGTAATACACTATCTATCTGAAAAGTACTTTTTGAATCGTTTAACAACTTTTTTCTGTATTCCAAACAAGCTTCCAGACCAGCGGCGGCTAGCTGGACCTAAATATTTGAGCCATTTTGTACCACTTTGGAGGGTTGACCTCTCAGTGTAGCACATGATAAATGAATTTCTACAGCAAAAAAACGTCGCACCTTACTTTTGTTTGAAGCATTGGGCCTCAAACATGACTCGGTATAGACGCCCCTGTTCTAAACCTTCAATTAGTTCAAGTAAATGACTATAACAGATGTATTGTGACAGAGGTAACGTATAAATGATTATGAATGTGTCACTGGTAGGGGTGACACTATGGGTATTACTAAAATACGCTAACATCCACTAACATCACCAAATTAAAATCCGAGATAGCCGATCGATAGACCTGTTCTTTGTGAATAAACAAACATCAAAAAAATTCAATTCAAAGAGGATTCTTTAGGGTTTTCCCGTTGCGAACACCCACTAACACCCAAAAAGAGTAAAGCCAACACCCAAAATAATATGTCAGAATAATCGCCATCCTTTTTTGAGCAGATTAGATCACTTTTGAATCCATAGGAAATCTGATGAGAGCAGAGGTGGTCGAAAGATGTTCAAATTAGGCTAATCGATCTTCAAATTCTTCAGTACTATCTGATTTAATTAATGAATCAGGTACATCAAATACAGCTTCCAATAGCTTTTGTCTATCATCCTGATGTACTCTTGTTTTAGCCAACTGTCGTTCGATATTTTGACGTACGTGACGTGTACAAAGTAAATGGGTTATTGGTGGGAATAATGTATTGGTACTACTAATCAACTAATCTTCAAGAAACTATTGATACAGCCCTTACACGATTAGGACGACTTGAAACATTTATCAAAGTTGAATTACCAACTGAAACTGACAGACTGAAAATTTTTGATATCTACACAAAATCCATGGTACAAAATCATTTACTTGATAATGATATTGATATAGAATAAATACTTTTTGGTACGCACGGTTTAACAGGAGCACATATTGAAAAGCTTATTCGGTTGACTGTGAATAACGCTCTTCGAAGAGATGTTATTGAACGTGATACATTAGATATCGGTGAGGATTCAGCAGAACAACTCCGAATTCGTAATTTAGATTTTTCAATTGCATTAGAAAAGGTTCAATCAAAGCCGTTAGACTTTTATAAGGGTGAAACAAATGATATGTAGTTATTAAACATACATTATTGTTATTTTTAATTCAACGAAAAACACTGCTGTGCTATCATGAATAATAGTATTATCGTTAAGTTTTTTCTCTATTAAACTAATGTTCGTCTTACCTAGCAAAGGAGCGACGGAAAAAACGATTATGAAGGTAATAATTGTCAAATGTTTGATAATCCGGTTCACTGGGTAACCATACGTAAAAAAGTTGACAATATAACGCGTTAACCTCTTGAATGCCGTAAGACATCTATAGATAACACGAAGGAAATTTTATGTATTGCATATGCTCTTTCGTTCTATTGATTTCACAGAAAAAAAAGTGGACGAAGAAATAAAAAGATGGTAAAATCCATGGCATCAGTTGCCAAATTATCGAGTGGTGGTGGTTCATCATCGGTTGAATCATTTTGATCGGGTGTAAATGGTAAATTCAACGGTGAAGAAGAAGAATATAATAATAAGTCATTTGATTGTGAATGATCAATAAAAACAGTTAGTGGTGAAGTCGACGTGTCAGGTTGTTTACCAGATAATGTGGGTGTATTTGACGGTTGTTGTTGTTGAAAAAGAAAGAAACTTTTTAAAAAAGCTATCTTGAAAGTATACCATGCATGAAATACTTGTTGTTACAGAATAAAAGAGCTTAAAGCTTAGTCGAAAAATATTTGATAGAAAAAACACTTAAGACTTATTTCGTTTTCTATCGAATCACTCACAGTTAATTGCGATGAGAGAACTTGTTGAATAAAGGTGTTTTTTTCTTTCTCATCTATATCATCATTTGTTGATATATAATCTAATTTATCTGTTAATTGTGGAGTAAAACACAAATCATCACGAGCACGCTGAACAGCGACACTAAAAGTAGAAAAAAAGGAGGAAAAACGAAAAGAACTTTTTGTAAATATTTACCTTTGTGCAGCTCTTTTTAATATATCATTAACACGTTTTCGTGCTGATCCATAAGCGATTTGTTGATAATAAAATCCAATGTCACCATATTTTTGTCCCGATTATCGGATGAAATTAGTTATAGCTGATGCCGAGTTTCCAAATTATTCAACCAAACCGACTATGATTTCACGCTCTAACTCTTCAACTTTTCGATAAGAATGCTGCTTCTTACCGACAGTATTTTGCATGATTGATGAATAGAGTGCGCGTTCAACGATTAAGAGGCAATCAAAAATAATTAGAAAGTAAATTTATGCTGTCAGTATATTTATTTAAAATTTCTCAGCATTCTATCCGTCGAGCGAAAAGAATGTCTAGTCGGGATATGTTTTTTTACCATTCGCAGTTCAACGTTTCTTCCTTTTTTCTTCGTGGAGAAATAATATGGGATACTATATGAGAGATTCATTCGAGATACAGGACATAAACAGATAAAGTAGTAAGAAAAACACGTTATTAAAGTTATTTTGCTTCTTTAAATTGATTTCTCTAAGCTTATACTCTCTAACGTAATGGATCAAACTAAAAGACGACGTCAAAAACAATTAAAGTTTTTTCAGTTAGCTTCAAACGTTAATTTTCTTGTCTTTTTTACTGTAATCCATTTCATAAAAATCAGTTCTATTCTTTCTCTGAATGAATTTGATTTTTCTTCCTCTAGAAAAACATCAACGGGTTTATTATAGTGGTAAATCCAAGTATCATTGCCTCGCGTCTATTTACGTTGTTTCTACCCATGTGATGAAAATCGCGGAAAACTCGACGATTTTATCGCGATTTACGGACCGATTAATTGTGCGCTTTATCGCGATAAAATCGACCAGTTTGCCGATTTTTTTGCTGACTTATCAGCCAGTAAAATATGAGGCTGAAACTTCTATGCTATAGCATACGACACCTATGATTAAATCGGTTCGAGCTCAATAAATCCCTCATAATAGCTATTTTCTCTTTCTCTGAGTTGAAAAATATTAAGTTAAGTAAATAACTGATTTAGCCGTAATTTAGCGTCAATATAACAAAATCGCCGATTAATTGCGATTAACTGGCGATACTTTTGATAATGGTGATAAATCGTGGTTTCTAGAAAAATTACCAATTCATTGCCATTAATCGGCGATTTTTTGTCGAAATCGCGATTAATCGTTAATATTTTGCAAAATCCCGATTAATCATCCAAACCGAAGCGATTTCGAGCACATGGGTACAGATCGTCGTCTCATTTATTTTAAATCCGGTTTGCTTGGTTCTGTTCATGATAGTCGGATGATGTCCACATGTGAAATTGGGCCTAACCAAAACTGCATCATTCCACAACACACGAAAATCCTCGCGGATAAGGGTTTTCCAAACGGTGGCTACCTGCTCACACCGGTGAGAAGAAATGAACTTCGAAATTATTCTAAAGGAGCAAAAGATTTATTCAATTATCATTTATCCTCAAAAAGAATATTTGTTGAGCATCTAACACGCGAGATGAAAATTTTTAACTCTATTCATACTGTTTTTCGTCATAACCATGGGGTTTGGCATGCTGTAAGTCTTTGTTCTGCATATCTAACCAACATCCGAGCGAATTTGTTTTATACTTAGAACTGTTTGTTTACTTAACTCTTACTGCGTTCAAAATAAATGTATTCAGAAACTTCAAAGAAGATAACAATACTGGTCGACTGAGTGTTCTTCTCATAATTTCTTCGTATTTCTTGTCCTCATTTTAAATCTTTATTATTCGTAATCTCCTTCTAATATAATGCAGAAGCTTACAAACCAAATAGGTAATTGCATCATGAGTGTTGCCAGTTCAGCCGAGAATCTTGCACAAAAAATAAACGAAAAATGAAAAAAATTGAAAAATCTTAGGCCTGTAGCAACAAATGTAAATGGTACAACTTTGGTCAAAAAGTTTACATTTTACATTTACTATCTTTCTTTTCTTTTTTCTTTTCTGTTTTGTTGTCTTATTAATAAGACAACAAAATAAAAAGAAACAGAAATCTGAATCTTGCCAGGAATAAGACAAGAAAGTCGATCAGCAAGTGACGTTAAAGGAAGAAAGAGAACAGAAAAGAGACATTTGTCACATATATGATCGAATATCGTGCATGTGCGAGAAGAGGTGTCTCCTTATTTGCTATAGTCCTAATATGAAGAAAATATTCGATTCTTTCGTTTTCTTTCTATACTTTCACAAAAGCGAAATGGGAAGACACATTTTTCGAACAAATGGCTACAACTTGATTGCTTTATATTCGTGAAGAAAAGACGAAACAGAATCAGTACCGAGAGAACGAAAAGAAACGAGGAGAAATTGGGATATACATGTGAAGAAAAAATAATTTTATTATACATTTTATCCGTTCTTCATCAGTTTCCTTGCTGTTGGTATTCGCATCGTACGTTTAAGTTTTAACTAATCGTCACTACATGACTTACTTATATGCAGACTTCATCTTAAATAACAAAATATAAAAAGTTTTACAAGATTCTGACTTTTAGGTAAATTCCGGAATATTTCTTCTACATAATCGTACGTATTTTTTTGATTTCACAATATAGGTCATTGTGATCTCTGTTTATATATATATGTCGTGCCGAAGTTACACTTTTTGTCGAAGTTACAACTTCGACCGTCACTTTCATCGAAGTTATAACTTCGATAACATCTTTTGTAGAATTTTTTATATTTTTAGTATTTTTTATAATTTTTTATATAAAAAACATCAGGAAATTAATACTATTTTTTAAAATATACTAATAAAACTCATTTTTCAGTTCAATAATAAAAAGAAATATATTTATTTATAACTATTTAAGAAAAAAACAAATAATTGAGAATTATTATTGAAACTATTTCATTTTTGGTTCTTCACGGTTTTTTTAGGAATGTTTTAGGTGATGACGGTAGCACAGATGAGATTTTCATTTGATTAAGTTATAATGATAAGGATGAATCTCCATGCTTAAAAGTAAAAATTGCTTTTACACATTTGGTATATGTTTATATTCTTATCCTACATTCTTTGTAATTACTCATGATTTATAATCTCATTATTTTCCCGATCTTATATTTTATCTTCTTTTTTCTAATTAGATTAATTGGATAAATTACTGACGATTAAGACAGCACTAAAAGTGGAACATAACAGCCACGAAAACTTCAACATGTCCATGTTTTAGCTGTTTCAGTTGAATATTAGAAAAACGTCATATCCATTAATATGTGCGCCGCTTATAAATAATTATCAATTTAATTGTAATTTTTTATTATGACACAGTTGTCTTTACGCTCTACCGAATCTACTGACAATGGAACCTTTTGTACTGATCATCAAGAAGACTGACCATATTCGGGTCAAATAAAAGTTATCACTGACAAACTAATAGACTTAAAATATTACGTGCCGATAGCGTGCCTAGAGCAAGTTACTTAAATTTCAAGGTATGTGAAATTTAGGTATAAAATAAATCAGGAAAGGTTTTCTCCACTATTTTAAGAACAAAACATAGTGTTGTTTGGACCGATTATGGGGTTTGTAAGGACTCTCTTTCATATGGCCCGAACAACACTATGTTTTGTCCTTACAATAACAGAGCGAATTTTTTGATGGTTGATAGAAAACAGTGTTTTTTATGACTACAGAAAAAATTCTCTCTACTATTATAAGAACAAAACATAGTGTTGTTGAGGCCATATATAAGAGGAGCCTTGATAACTCTCAGGTTGGTCCGAATAACAATATGTTTTGTCCTTATAATAGTAGAGAGAATTTTTTTCTGTAGCTCATAAAAAACAGTGTTTTCTATCAACCATCAAAAAATTCGCTCTGTTATTGTAAGGAGAAAACATAGTGTTGTTCGGGCCATATATGGTCAAATATATGGTCAAGTCGAATATGGTCAATCTTCTTGATGATCAGTACAAAACGTTCCATTGTGAGATCTGTAGTAAATGAAAAATGTGAAAGGTATTAGCGAAAGAGGTTTATTATTCGTCAATAATTTGTACATTTCTATGTATTGTTGAACTGAAAAATGAGTTTTATTAGTATATTTTAAAAAATAGTATTAATTTCCTGATGGTTGATGTTTAACTAAATCGTTCAAAATAACTTTGACAAAAAAGAATCGTCAAAGTTTAACTTCTACAAAAGATGTTATCGAAGTTATAACTTCGGCAAACAATTCTGTGAAAGTTATAACTTCGATGAAAGTGGCCGTCGAAGTTGTAACTTCGGCAACATTTTTGCCGAAGTTATAACTTCGACAAAAAGTGTAACTTCGGCACGACATATACATCAGTAAAAATCTAAAAACAAAGGAGACAAATTTTTATAGCCGAATACACATATTTCTATAGAGTTGGATATCGATATGGAACGATAGACAAAAATGTAGGGATTATAAATAGCTATAGTGCGTTAGACATAAGTGTAGAGTAGGTATATATGGATAGAAATGGATAGAAATAACTATTGAGTGAATATTCATTTAGACGCCTGCGTAATGCAACAATTCTGTAAATTGTGATATCCACTGTTCAGTACAGATCTGCAAATTGACTGTTTTTATTTACGATTTTGATAAAAGGTCTTTATTAAATTCAGGTTTGATTTGAAGAATCTGAATTTTGCGATAATTTAAATAGGCTATTGAATATGTGATTATGTTAAACACAGATTTGGTTCGATAGTTTAATTATTCCTTCGTTTGATATTCCTGCAATGAACTCCAGTTTTGTTGTTCTATTTTTTGCATTCGAAAAAATTTTCAAATTTGTTGAAAATAGTAAAATACCTTTATAAACCAGGCATAGGCGAGTCCGGACTGGAAGATTTTTTGGCGGACTCGGACTTGAACTCGGACTGGAGATTTTTTTAAAGAACGCGGACTCGGACTTGAGTTTTTGTATTTCGAGTCCGATCGATTCAAGTTTTAACATAAATGAACACTAAATTTTTTCTTTAGTTTTATTGTTCTGAGTTCGATGCAGTNACAGCTTTGCATTCAATATCAATGTATGAGATATAGATTATAACAGATTAGAAATATTGCTCTCTCTAATAAATTTTAACTACTGCAGCAGTTTGTTTTAAGTTCATAATAACAGTCCGAATGGGAACACAATAGAAATTAAACATTGTGACTTTATGTCTAACATGTAAGCCGTCCGAACCTCTAAAACTTGAGGAATTCAGGATTGTCCTTACATAAATCTTCAAAAGTTTCGCGTTTTGAACAGACAAATGAGGTAATAAAAATAGTTTTGAATGCCGAGTTCATGCCAACGATGAATCTTTCGTTTAGAATCCCAACAATCGATGGCATCACACTATTCAAAAAAGCTTGATTGTCAAGGTCATGCTTGCACTAGATGTGGATACTGTCGTGATTGGTATCATAATGACAATCGGAATATCAATGAACGAAAATATCACAAGCGCGAAGATGCCACATGCGTTTATGCTGATGCTTATTATTGTGATACTCACGTTAATTGTCGTGATGGTTGTGATGTTAATGCTCCTGGTCATAGTGGTCATACTCTTCTTGCTGGTTATGAGCGGGATTGCAATCGTGCTCTTTGTAATCGTAGTGGTTTTTATAATGCTCCTGATGTTTCTCGTTTATGTGAATGTGAAAAGAAAGGAAAGAAATGACTATAGTTTTCATCGGATTGGAATTCGATCAACGCGCAGAAACTGAATCCTATTGCTGCTTATTATGCTTGAAAGAAATAAAGAAAAGTAAAACATCATTCTAGAGAATTCCATTTCGAAATAAGTTTACCACAACCGATTTCTTAATATATTAAGATAAGTCTAACAAGCGATAACACCTTTCGACGTTGCTCAAGAAGCTAATCATATGTATAATTTTTGGTTAGTACCCTTGAACTATATCAATTTCGAGGGGTGTGGGGTGAGGGTGGGTTTAAGAAGATAAATCTGAAGAGTGAAAATCTGTTGAATCATCTCACCTATCCACGACAATACAAAACATTACTAAATGAATGCATCCACAGTGGATACGCCTCAACACGGACGAAAGACTTGTTGTATCGATGCATTTCCGACTGAACACCTAAAGGCAAATTTTTGGTATGATCAGAATGCATCTGCTCCATCTGTCATCTTGGTTTGTCTTGCTCTGTGTAAGTGTCTGTGTATCCTTTCTTCTGTGGTTTGCTGCGTGTTTATTCGTCATGCGTTTAAAGTGTTCTGATTGATCCTTGTGTTTTACTCCATATTGACATTCTTCTTTTTGTGTTGCATAATTGAAACGTTCATTTATCGCAACGAATCAGATATTAATCCGAGTTTGACCGTCTATTTCATGGTTCTATGACATAAAGACTTGTAAAATTTTTGATAAAAAAAGCGATTGAAATCCAAAATTAATAGATCCTGGATCTCAAACGCACGTCTCATCCCTTACATAGTCCATTCAGTGAATCGCTACCTTTATCTTCTTCAATCTGACGTCGTGCCTCGGTTCTCCATTTTATCTGCTCTGATTTCATTTCGTAGAACATTCACATATTACAGTGTCTGCATAGCCATTCTCGCATATTTCCGTTTCAACCCTAAAATGACCGAAATACTTGTAACTTAAGGGTGAGGGTGTGAGAGTGAGATTAAGAAACTGTCAAATCAACAATGATAAGTGAGTAAATATGAGAAGAACTAAGTGCACAGTAAGTAAAGAATGAAACAAATGAGATTAATAAATGTTTTTTTAATATTTTTTATTTTTATGTAAATAACGGCGAGAAATGAATGAACTTGAGAGAAAAAACTGAGTAAATAAATGTTTTTTAATGTATTTTAATTTTTTGAATGAATAAATAAGCAACACACACGAGAAAAAATATAATGAATAAATGAATGTCTAAAGAATCGAAAGCAAAAAAGACAGATTAAAGAGAACTTACGAAGAAAAATGAATTTCTTCTGGTTAAATATGTGAATAAATGTTTGAATAAATGTAAATAAGAAGAAGAAAAAATAAGAAATAAGAAATAAGAACATAAGATGAGAATAAGAAGATTGATGAGAGTAGAAGAAGTAGTAAATGAATAAATAAGAATTTTTTAATTTTAGTTTTTTAGTAGTTATTTTTATTGCAAATTTTTATAATTTATAATAAACGAATAAATAACACAAATAACACAGTAAATGATAAGCGGCGCATTTCGAATATTCTTCAGGCTATGATGACTACCTCTACTGTTACTCTACTCTTATATACTATCCTTCTTCTACTCTCTTCCTTTGTCTGCTCTCGTCGGACGGGGTTACTGTTCTCATCTGCCGGGCCATGCTATTCTCGTCGGACTGGAACACTCTGCTCACTGGCCGGGTAAAAGATGGCGTTATCCATACTGACTGGATGGGGATGTCACTAGTGAGGGTGTTACGAAATGCTTGACTCAACCAAGGGGGAGGGCGATTGTGTGTGTGCTACGGAATACTGACTTAAGGGGTACACTATTACAATTCACACACAATTACAAAAAAACTACGAACAGTTGTTGAAATACAATACACGAGTGTTACAAAAAACTATAAAACTTGTACAAAAAGGACAAAACACACTACACTAGTTGCCGTTGTCGATGACATATTCATCTAAAACATAAAATGCAAAAAACGAGTATCTGTTTTTATAATTGTTTTACTGTTCTACTGTTTCTATTATATCCTTGATCGCTGTTTTTGATGGTTTTTGATGTACTAAAATACTCTTTAAATTATCTGTTAAACCATGTGCCAAAATAACTGGAATACCACTAAGAGGCGTGTCTTCAAATATCTCTTGCCATATCTGATGAAATCTTGCTCCAAAACGTGCTAAACTCGGTGTATATGTAAAATGTAATAAAATATCCTTATTAAAATCTATTCCTTTCTTTTCTTTTTTATTCCATTCCGGCTCTAATACTTTCTCTCTAAATTCGCTATGCTGTATACCTAATAATAATTTCGAATCTTTTTCTCTTGTCAATGTCTCGAAAAATCTCTTAAAATGTCTATCTATAAAAGCTGGCGGATATTTATTCAATAATAACATAACTCGAACCTTTTCTATCTCTTCTGCTAAATTCTCACTATGCGAATAAATTCTAACTGCTCTCAACAATGCCGAAAATGGTATATTCTTCATAACATGTGGTGGATGTGCTGAGTTGAACGGTAAGATGTATGGTTGCGCAGCTAACTTTCTATACACTCTAGTTCTAAAACCTGGTGTTTCTACTTGTACTCTTACATCTAAATAATCTACATGCTCTCCTATCTCAAATATTAGTCGTATGTTCTTATCTTTTTTACCCTAACTCGTTTAAAAATCTATCCATCTCTACTTTACTCTTCTTTGTTGTTAAAAAAAATGTCATCGCTGAATCTTAAATATAATTCACCTTCTCTATCCTGTTATTCTTTCACTTCTTTCTCCCATTTTCTCATGTAAACATCTGCTAATACCTGTGTACACTCTGATCCCATCGGTCCGCCTCTAATCTGTTTATAATACTTAACATCCTGTCCTGGTAACTGTAAAGCAAAATACGTATTCTCTAAAACATGTCTAAAAAGTATTCTAACTGTATTTATTGGTATCTCTCTATTTATTTTATTGATCTTATTCTGTCCTAACATCTGACATATCGCTAAAATCGATTCTTGCTGTGGTATCATTGTATATAAGTCCGTAATGTCGAAAGTGTACAAAAGAGTTTGTTCTGTCGTTTTACGTTTTTGTAGATGTTTTAAAAATTCTATACTGTTCGTTAAGCTATATGGTGTTAACTTATCAAAAATAGGTCGTATAATTTGATTAAGAAAAGCCGAGATTTTTTGTGTTGGTGATTTCATCCCCGAAACAATGGGTCTTAACGGTTCTCGTACCTTATGATCTTTGGGTTATAATAAAGATGAGGTAACTCGGCATCTGATGGATTAGATTTTAGTTTTTCAAATACTTTCCTGGTAATACTTTTCTATTGACTAAATCTCTTAATAAATATTCCATTCTTTCTATCATTCCTCTTGACGGTGACTGTCTTATTTCTTCGTATGCATCGGTCTTCTTCACATATGCTATTGATTTCTGAATGTATGTTTCTGGCCTATCTACATGAAATACTTTCGACTTATCTGTCTGCCTAAAAATAACTTGTCCTGCGTTCTGTGCTTTTTTAAACTGTTCTAATGTCTTCTCTACTACTTGATCTACTACTGTTCCTTCATTAATCTTACTTCTTAATTCATCTTCTAATCTATTCGCAAACTGTTCTACTAATACTGGATTTCTACCTACTGTTCTAGTTTCTCTTCTCCATGCTTCTACTACCTTCTCCTTCATCACACTAATCTCTTTTTCTAATCTATCTAATGCCTGTCCTGATTCTCTGGTACATACTTTGGTCCATAATCCAAAATCCTCCTTTCTTCATTTGTCAGACTCAATACTTTATTATTTACTTGCGGTGGAAAACCTAACTCTGTATAATGTGGATGTAAACTCTTTGCTCGACTATTTCTCTCTTTCGCTCTAACTACTTGTCTGTTGTTCCTTTTGTTCTTCTCTCTAAAAAACCTACCTTCTCCTGTACTCGTCTGTTATGCCTAATCTCGATCGTATGTATGAAATCTTCGTATGCCTTCTTTACGTCTACTGGTATCTTTTCTAATAATTCTTGATGTTCTTTATCACTTTTCTCTATCTCTGCTGTTTTCGATGTTCTCATAATCGATATTAATTCTAACTTACTCTTATGTATTACGGTGCTCCATTGCTCACTGTATTGCTCTTACTCTCGTAACAGAATAATAGAGTCATTTTTAGTGATGATAATTGTAAATCGGCTTCAATAAAAGATGATGATGCAACAATTGTGGTATTGATTAGATGGCTACGACGGTGTTGACGACAGCAGGAACATCGTTCATAACTACCGTCGGAGTCCACGAAAAAGATTTCATTTGCCGATCATGTATTTGTTCAGCATGTTTAATCATATTTAATTCACGTTCTTCAATAATCTTGATTAATTGTTCCATAATAAGTGAATCTTGTTCACTACTTTCAGCTAAGTTTGTCTTCCCCTGCATGGCTCGTTGAGCATAAGCACGAGCTGTTTCTTCCTTTATGAGAATAGTCATCGCCATGATAGCATACTTATATCGTGTAATCATTTTTGAATAACGTGATGATAAACTAGCACGTTTGTTGTTATCGAAAATTGATTTTGCAAGTATTGTTTCAATGTTGTGCATGGAATGATTGATGAGACAATCGAAGGATTGTGGTAATCGTTGTAAGTAGATTTGTTATCTAAGAATATCTCTTTCGGCTTTTCCTTTTTGTTCATCAGCTCTCACTTGCCAAATTAGTTTTGCTGAGCGAATCTATCAAATAGAAAGATGATAAGTTAGAATAAAAATGATGATGTTGTTCTTGTATTTATTCTAACCTGTTCTTCATTTAATGGTAATGTATAAAATGATTTGATTAATCGACGATCATTGACATCTAATTTAATAGGGTCTTTTTCTTTTCGAATTCTTCCCTAGACCAAAAAATTTGACCAATTCTGATAAGAGTCTTGTAAGATTCTTACCAGATTCATATATCAGAAGTCCGCACGAATGTGGTAAGAAATTCATACGAACCTTATAAGAATCTTATAAGACTTTAATAAGAACTTGATAAGTATATAAGAAGAAATGTTTAAAACTCTTGCGTAATTCTTATCATCTTCTTATTGGATTCTTACCACATTCTTATCATTATCTTGTTGAATTCTTGTCACATTCTTATCATTTTCTTGCTGGATTTTTACCACCTTCTTATAAACCTTTTGCACCGTGCAAAAAGTCTCGCTAGCCGATAAGATATAAGTACACTCCAGTCGTTTTTTACTCCGAGCGCTATGGAATAACTGAGAAGAACTCAGAAATCGGTAGAAAACTCGAAATTCTTTTTGGAAACTCCCATGTTCCGGATGCTGACTCCCTAGAGGAAGAGAAAAATGACTTACTATAGTATATAAGTCATCGAAGTTAGTTTGGAGAGAGTAGCCTTAGTGAACAGATCTGTACTAGTGGTAGTACGATATGCCTGAGACTAGTAAACCATGGTTCAAAGGACTCCCAAAAATTGAAAAAAATTCAGAAATTAATATTTTTCAGTTCATGATCAAAAATAATGAAATTTGAAATATGTACTGAAAACGGTCCCAGTTAAACAGTGTGAAAACGGTGCAAAAACGGTCCTAACCGGACGTTTACGGTACATTAACGATACCGTTTTCCACGACCTGGATAGAACTTATAAAACATGGATTCAGAAGGTCAACAGTATCAACCACTGAGGTGTAAATACGAATCGGCGACTAATTAACTCGTAACCTGATATGTTCTCTCCGAACTCTATTAACAACATTTAATTTTTAAGTAGGATAGTAAGGAATTTTTCTCAAAGACATTCACATATAAAAAGAGACAGCTCAAATACAGGAACGTAAAAATTCAACAAACAATTATCTTAACGTCGATGAATTTTTATATACTGATCTTTATAAAAAGGAAAAACTTTTGATATGAGAAGATTTATCAAAAATAAAATGTTTCTGAAGGTAATTTACATACTGATTTCATCGTGTTTAACCCGGTTTTCTCTTCGGGAACATAATGCAATCAAGATAAATTCATTGTAGACTCGCTTCGAGGTTGAGCTTTAAATGAGTACACAGCAATTTGATTTGTAATCACGTTCTCTACTTGTCATAGAAACTATGTTAACGGTTTTTTGAACTTCTTAACTCTAGAAAATTTACTTCTAAAATAGCTTCAATCTAAGACTTCTCTAAGTTCGTTCGTGTATTTCTCAATTAACGTTCGACACATAAGTATATTTCATCTCAAAATAAAAGTTAGAGCGATCAATGTCTTATGGTTCGCGTGTGAATATTACCGATAAGGTAACGTTTGCTGTATGTGAAGAAAACATTCACGCTTAGACTGCCAGACCCAAGCAAAAACGACCCAATTTTTTGGGATATTTATCTAGATTCAGCTCCACGTACATCTAGATGCACGTGGACCTGAATCTAGATAAATAACCCAAAAAATTGGGTCGTTTTTGCTTGGGGAGAACGTATACCCGTAGATATTATCGCTAGGATCAGTTCGTTATTAGAGCCAATCTAATATCCTGTGAATGAGGCGGAATGGCTGAGCCCCAATCCTCTGTGCGTCAAACAGAACCGAACTGATCGTCGCTACATCCTGAAAGTCACTAACAGCAAAGCGGTCTTACACCGTGGATACTCACAATTGTTATAAAAAACATCAACCTCGGATGCATTTCTCACTTTTGTGCATATTATTTTGAGATATTTGCACAGTAAACATTGATTGAGCTTATACATTGAGAAAATCCTTAGATTTCATCATTTAACTGTGCAACAGTAAGTAGTCAGGATTTGTGTCACTAATCTGTCACTCAGTGGAACTGCTGTGTACTTACTCTGTAAATTAGTTATTTTTCTATTTAATGTTAAAAAGCAAATATAAACTGCAAATAATTCGAATATAAAAGTCTCAAAACCGCTGCAAGAAATCAGTGCCTTATATAAGAGACACTGTTTTCGCGTCTCATTTAAAATGAGAAGAATAAACGTAAATATCTTCAATCACACATGTGTCTGCCATATAAGTTATATACAGACAAAAGGTATATAAATTCTTTCACGTTGATAAACGCTAGAAAGTAAGTGGGCTAATCATATAAGCATTAATTTCATCCTTTTATCGAGACATCATGCACGTGCTGTTGCTTTTTTGATCTATCTTATTCTATAATGATTTCAATTTCGGCTACAGGAAATACGCCTTTTTGTGAAAGATACATTTGTATTTGTTGCTATATGTATTTAGGTCATATACTTTGGCCAGCTTTTGCCTTCCAGTCTTTGCTACACTATACAGTTGCTCCCTCTAGTGAATTTAACTTTTATTATTAAAATCGGGTAAACTGAAGCATATATAAGATTGACATCTAACAACCGCACTAAAGTTTTTTCTCTATTCCTTCTCTTCTGACTGGCCTATCCAAGGAATACTGTCAGCCATTTTCCCATATTTTGCGCGCACATAGACATAAAGACACATAGACACAAATAATTTTCTGGATAGGCAAAGGAACAAGGTAACGAACTGAACGCTCACCTGCGACTTGCTTTTCTCCTATTAAAAAAAGGATTCGCTATTTTTCCTTTCTTACGATTACTTTGTCCATGGAATATCTGCCAGTCAGTTTTCCGTATTTTCCACAGAGACACACAGACAACTATTCTATAAGATCCTAGACTAAGTTAAGGAAATAAGTGTGGAGTAAGAATCTGTTTGTATTTCTTTTCTTCTTTGGAAACAGAAAAGGTGAGCGATCGAGATAAAAGTAAATGAACGAAATAAAGTAACCATGTTTTAACCTTAGGCACAATTTTAAGGAGTGATGTTGAGATTTTTTTTTATAGCAGGTTGCACAGTTCCTTTTCTCAAGCCGACTTGAGTAAATACGTACAACCTTTATCAGTGTTTCAAAGAATGATGAACTTTTTTTATTCCTTTACGCTCCTCCGTATGACTCTAGGTTCAGCCTAGAGCAACCGTGCATTGTTCAATATCAGTTTTGTTTGTGATTACATAAATGACTAGCGTTATCTTTTTTTTTGATGCCTTATGCTGCAGAGAGAAAGTGAGAACTGACATATGTTATGTGAACAACTTTTTGAAATTATTGTTGACTTTTGTTTGTTTTTATTTCAAGTATCGTGTTTATAGACACCATTGATTTAACTTACAATTTTTTAAGCAACCATCGACATTAAAACCACTAGTAAGCTCAGTTCGTGCAAGTTTTGTGATATTTACAGGAAAGATGGATGTTGATACACATAATTTTCTCTAATATGTTCTTTTTCTGTAGTATAGATTCGATTCTAAGTAGATTCCCGCAAAATGACTTTCTTATAGTTTTATATAGATTTACAGTGTGTAGCGTGTTTGCGCCATAAATCTACCAGATAGAAAAACACATCTAATTACATCAGTAGAAAAAAAAGAACGGTTGAGGTTAGTTTCCATTTTGGTTGATCCGTTTTGTAATTTTGTAAATAAGAGCTTAGTGCTTTTCTTCTAAAATATCATTAACTTAAACTCCTCAAACGATTTCATAATCGCGGTAACGCTACAGTTCAGTCATATTTGATAGTAAGCCGAATTAGTCCGGTTCGATACGGCAATTCGAGGTTGAGTTCAACGTTTCGCACTGAGTTCTTAATACGGCGAACGGTAGCTTAACAGCATTTTGTGTATATTTGCGCGTTCTTTTTAACTGTGTTTTTCTTAATTATGTCAGTGTCGTTACGTGTTCAAGAAATTCTTGCTCGATGTGAAGTAGAGGAAAAATTGCATAAAACAGATAGACGAAATGAAAAAGATTGGCAGCGGCGGAAGGAGAGAAAACAACAACAACGCCAAAAACAACACTCAACACAAAATTATAAGCAGTATTCAGACGAGGTTATTAGCACTGATTCTAAACAAAGCAACAAAAGTTCAGAAGACGGCGAAGCCAATTTGCCATACATGTATTGGTCTGCTGCAAATGAACCGAGGGCGGCAGTACAAGAACTGGTGTATAGTTTTCTCGACTCAGATTTGGAAAAAAATTTTTTTCATGAATCCACTGAGTCAGAAGGTGAAGAATCAGATCCTTCCTCAGGTGATGAAATAATACGAAGTAAACTGAAACCAGTCCATCCGTATACTTCTTAGTCAACATTTGACTTCTGTGTCGAATTTTTGACAACGGCAAGACAAAGTCTTCTAGACAAGAAAACCATAACTAGTTTATTGTTATTCATGTCGAAGACGTTCCCTCATCCAAATAATGTTCCCCGAAATTTCAAATCTCTAATGAAGGTAATCCCTGTCACATCCTCCTTTGAGAAAACTGTTTTTTGTTCGCTTTGCTGGAATCTTATTAATCGTTGTTGCTGTTTTCCTAAACCGCCTTCTGTTAATTCACAGGAGGTGTATGTTGTCAATGTTCGTCAAGAGTTAGCGAGTGTTGTTAATAAAGTGTGGCCTGCTATTTTTGACTATGAAGTAATGGTAAAAAGCAATCCGAGTTCATGTGGAAGAGATATTCCTAGTGGCAGAGCTTATCAAGAAATATTGCAAGGAAAAAATAATCACACACTGACCCTTTTCTTCAGTGGAGATGGCGCTCCTCTATGTGTGAGTAACAGCAAATCAGTTTGGGTTTTATCTGCCAGTATAGTGGAAATTCCGCCTCAGTATCGTTATTCTTTTCAGAATATGTTGCTTTTACAATTCAGTATAGGTTTATCCAAACCTAACTTGATATTAACATTGGGGCCAGTTATTGAGCAATTGCTAGAAATGAAACAAAATGGTTTAAGTCTTGTTGTCAATGGACAACAAACGCTGTTTGATATTCAATTCCTTTTCTTTACAGCTGATTCTCCAGCATTATCTCTATTCTCTAACTTTATCAGTAGCGCAGGTCTTTGTTCGTGTTTTGTTTGTCTTGCTCCTGGAAAGTATGATTACAATTTGGCGAAAGTTGTTTACACAACCGTTGATAATGGACATCGAAGTCTTAGAGATTATTATCGAGATGTTTCAGTCGCTGAGGAGAAAAGACAACGTTCTACTGCTAAGAAAGATCCTACTTCTCGCGGTGTTAAAGGTCGTTCTGTTCTTGAACCACTTTTTCCTGGTCGTCTAATACGTTGTTTGCGACCTGATTACATGCATTCTACAATCAAATGCGTTTTTGACTCAATGTTAGCTATAATTCTCGATCTATTGCCGAAAGCTGTGACAGATATTGTTGATAATCGTTTGTTATTTGTGTCTCTTCCACATGATTTTACTAGAAAACTCAGATCACTAAAATATTCTAATTATTATAAAGCAAACGAATCAAGGACGTTGATGTTATATGTTTTTCTTCCATGTTTATATGGTCTTGTCGACTCTCTGTTTTTTGCTCGACTTTGTCTGTTCGTCTGCGCTGTGCGACTAATACACGGTGATTCACGTGTTATTGAACATTGTGAAGATGTAGCCGATAATCTGTTTTCTTTATTTATCACGTCGAATGATGACGGATTACGAAAGTTATCAAATCTATCTTTACATATCCATTCTCACTTTGGTTTTTTCTCGAAAGAATTTGGCAGTCCAAATTATTCTAGTTGTTTCCCGTTTGAGCGATTTTTACGTTTGTTTATTAGAAATAAACATGGAACAACAAATTTCGGAGAGCAACTTTCTTTGTACCACGATATTGACAGATATCTTGCTTCAGTTAGTGATGGTCTACTTCATTGTGCAAACGAAAGTGAAATTCTTTTACTTGATCCTTTCTCAGACGGCGATTTAGCTGCAAAAGTCGCTCTAGAAGTTACATGTGGGTGCGAAATGAAGCTATATCGTCGTGTGAAGTTCAAACATAACGTATTCCATTCTCTTTCCTATCAGAAAAAAGGCGGTTCCAATAGTTATACAGTCCAAATCTCCCATGATCCGTCCAAAATTACAGATAAAAATCGATCATTTATGGAAATAATTTGTTTTGGAGAGTGTGCTCATACGGTTTTATGTTTTGGTGAAGTAGTAAACGAAGATCCTCTGCAAAAATTTTCTGATTTCTCTGTTGGCAGCGATTTTTCTAATGTGTTAGCGGAACAATTAACTATTTTTTTGCAATTGTTCAACCAAAAGCTAAAAAACGTACTCGTCTTATTTTGGTTCAACATTTAATGCGAAAATGTATTGTAGTGAGAGTTGATGGCGTTCATATCTATACACCACTTTCTCTCAATTTTGAGCATGACTAAACTTTGCTCGTCTTTTTTTCTCTTATTCCAAATTAGTCGACTAATTCGAAATTTGGAAATTCTTTTTCGTTAGTTAATTCTTTAGAGTTATGTTCTTTTAACTGTTTACTATGTTTATTTGTTTTTGTTGGCTGAGCTAGTCTGTCTCTTTTTTCGCTGAGAGTGTGATTTGTTGTTTGTTTATGAAAACTTTTCCTAAAAACTCCTCAAAAAAATTTAAAAAAAGTAAAAAAACCTTGCTATTGTACAATATCAAGGAAAAAAGAACGACTTCAATTACAGCTACCTTTCCG